ATTTGAATCAGGTCAAATCAGTGTTTAGTTGCGTCTTTAGTACCTTCCTATTTCCCACAATGCCGCGCGTTGTTTACAAAACAAGCGCGAAAAAATTCTAAACTAGGTACTAATTATTGTTGTGTACATCATCACATTTTAAAATTATTTGAATAAAAAGAAAACAAAGAAACCCCGAATCAAAACTATATTTTTAGATGCATCAACTAAAAATGTGCACATGTATGCAGTAAAGGCTTGGCTGGCTATAGTAAAATTTTTCCTGAAAGTTTTTCTCACATACATGTACTTGTTTTATAAAAAAAAAACGATTAAATATAGCTGGAATTTTATTTCTTTTTTTAAAAATGAAAATTTTATTAGTTCTTTTTTAATTTTTTTAAAAAAAACCAATATTTTTAGCTATAAAAAAAAGCGTGTATGAGCTTTTAACCCCTAATTATAGGGGCCAGCCCCTTTTCGTTAATCAAATATGAAAGCTCTCGTAATTACCCACAACTTTTTTTTCTTTTTTTTACCAAATTATTCTCGGTTTAAAAGTTATAACACAAAAAGTAGCAAAAATTAAAAAAAAAAATTACAAAAATTTTGCCGTTTTATAGTTTCCAAACTTTAAGAAATCGCTTATAATTTTATGTTGTGCACATCTACAATGTATTGGCTACAAGTTCTCCAACTTTCATGTAAATATCTTATGTCTTTTTGAGTTTTAGTGGAAAGGGAAATCAAAAATTTTCAATTAAAGGGCAAAAAAAAAAAGGCATAAAAAAAACAAAAAAGGTTTAAATGGGTTTTAACAAAGCTATCTATCCTGAAAGTTTCAAAAAAAAGGGTCTTTGAGAAATCGCCTGTCGGAAAAAAAAAAAAAGAATAAAAAAAACTTTAAAAAAAGTAGGGTCTTCCAAAAAAGGAATTAATGGGTCGAAAGTCTTGCGGGGAAAAAACCCTTTTTTTTATTACTAAAAAAATTCCATTCCCCCTGGGCGTTTTTCGTTGGAAACGGAAGACCTTAATTGGGTACATCCCACTAATTATTTTTAGAATGGTAGGAGAAGAAAGTAGGAAAAAAAAAGAAGTTCCTAAATTTGCAGACTTGCATAAAAGAAATTGGGCAGATGTTCTGAACTGAGCCTCATACTTTTTTTGGTTTTTTTTAACAAAAAAGCTTGGCAAATGTAATTTATTAAGAAGTAGCCAATTATTTTGTGCATTATAACCCATGAGAACTGTGAAATTTCCCTCTTTCACTTTAATTTTTAGAGGTTCTGCCGGAAAACGAATCTGACATGCCACCTTAATTGAGCATTTCGGGGCTGATTTTTCTTATGAGATGATAAATCATGTGAAAACTTTTTTTAGGGAATCATGAACATTTTCGGCAAGATAATGTTTTGTTTACAGTAGTGATCAAGGCTTTGCGCACCTGTAGGAGCGGACCCAAGGATTTATGAATGAAAAAAAATTTGGAAATAACGTACCAATTTTCAAATTTTTTTGCACTATCTAATGAAATGAATAATATACAAGTAAAAGATATACAAGAAAACGCGAAATGCTAATAAATGCAGCTGACAATCGATTTTTTTTTTTTATAGATAAAAAAAAATTTATAAAATCTAGAAAGAAAAAAGAAGAATGTGGGTATCAAATCACATCAGGAGAACTGAATTTTAGAATGAAACTTTTAGAACGTTACTTGTAAGTTGTATATGTTTACCCTGGCAGTGCGCTTCAAAAGGGGGGGGGGAAACATAGCACCTTACGTTTGAAGGGGGGCTAGGGCTTGCGAATCCTTGTGAAAAGAACTTTTATTGGACACGAAAAACTTTCCCTTTGACCTGACCTTGGAGAACACATGTGTACATCTTAACCCTTTTTTTTCGTTTGTTTCTATGACAACTGTGGGGATATTACAATTATTTAAAAGGTAGAAATCACTTTACAATTGCAAGGAATTAACATTGAAAGTTTAAAAACAGTTAGTTTATTAGAAAATGAAAAAAAAAATTTAACATTCCTCTGGTTTCCATGGAAATTGATATTTTGAAAATTTTAAATGCAAGTCGCACAACTACAGATACTAATCATTAAAATAAAAAAAGTTTCATGACGAACGTATAAGGGACCAGAACAACATTAACGGACAAAATCCGTCGCTTTTTACAGGTGTCCATGGCAACGGTAGACATATTGGAACTGAACGACCTCACTGCACAACTACAACCAGAGATCGTCCTTTGAGGAAAGTTTCAGGAAGATTGTCCGAGCCATCTCCGAGAAACAGCCTGGATAAAAAAAAAAACATGCGTACAATATCAATATGTCGTCCCCGACTTCGTTCGGGGCGACATAACTAGAAAGTCTGCTATGGCAAGCAATAGCATATGTCGCCCCGTACTGGACAAGACTTTCATTTTTATCATCACTAAAACAATGGTCCATTAGCTAAGCTTGGACAACCATCGAGTCGTATCAGTCCTTTCCATTGAGGAAACGGAAGACCTTAATTGGGTACATCCCACTAATCATTTTTAGAATCGGTAGGAGAAGAAAGTAGTGCAGGAAAAAATTACAAGTTCCTTAAATTTGCAGACTTGTATCAAAGAAATTGGGCAGATGTACTGAACTGAGCCTCATACTTGTTAATTGGCTGTATCTTTCCTACCAAAAAAGCTTGGCAAATGTAATTTATGAAAAAGATCAGCCGAATTATTTTGTGTATTATAACCCAGTGAGAACTCTGAAATTTCCCTACTTTCACTTTAATTTTCAGAGGTTCTACCGAAAAACGAATCTGACATGCCACCTTCAATTCGAGCATTTCTGAATCTTCCTATATGTGACGTTAAAGTGCATGTGACATTAAGTAAATATTCCTATTATGACGTCATGGTAACGTCAATATTATGCAATGTCTGAATAATCAGTCTAGATAAACAAGTCAACGTGATTAGAGGTGATTTTCTTTCTATCTGACTCAACATTTGGTGCCGTGACCAGGAGAAAAGTAATAGCAAACTGGAAATGGATGTAATCAAGTTAAAGGCACAGCGTTCAGGCCATCGAGGATTTATTACCAAAATTTTGAGGAAAATTTCTGAAATCGAAGATGAAAATGGAAAAGCTGAAATGATCAAGGTACTGGAGGAGAAGTGGTACACATTAGAGAAAATCAACAGCCAGATTCTACAAGAACTAGAGAAAGAAGAAGAAATTCAACTGGAGATCGAAGATTCAGATGAGTACATGTTAGATTTGAGACTGAAATTAGCAGAACTGACAAAGAATGGAAAGGCTTCTGAGAATCTAAATCAATGTATATCCAGGAATTTAAATGTAAATGCTCCACAGTTCATTCCAAGCAATGAATCATTAGAACCCAACATAGGAAAACCTAACATTCATAATCATAAACTGCCGAAATTAAACCTGCCAGTTTTTTCGGGAGATTTACTTCAATGGCAAACATTTTGGGATTGTTTTGAGACAAGCATCCACGGGAACAACAGTTTGTCTAATGTTGAAAAATTTAGCTATCTACGATCGCTGCTATGTGGGGAAGCCCTTCGCTCTGTGTCAGGATTCAGTTTGACCAATACCAACTACAGGCAAGCAATAGATGTTTCATTTGAAAGATACGGACAAAATCACAAAATCATTAATGCCCATATCCAGAGTTTGATTGATTTACCACTTCCCAAGCCTAGTCCTGCCAGTTTGAGAAACTTCTTGGACAAAATGGAGTGCTGCATTAGAGGATTAGAAGCTCTAGGAACTGATGAAAACACCTATGGGACAATTTTGACTCCAATGATTTACAACAAACTACCAGCAGAAATTCGGAAGAACATTACCCGGGACAAAGGAGATGATCAATGGGAACTGCATTCACTGAGGAGAGCCATAAAGAAGGAGCTATGTGTTCAAGATACTGGACAGTCATTACAGCCAAAACAGGAAACCCAGGAATTCATTCCAACAGCTAACAACTTTGTTACTTAGTCAAGCCAGAAAAAGACTATCAAGCGGGAAAATTATGTGAAGCAATGCTTATTCTGCAATGGAAATCATTCACCAATCAATTGCCATAATGTCCAAGACTATGATAAGAGAATATCAATCATCAAACAGAAGAGAGTCTGCTTCAATTGCTTCGGAAATCACAAAGTAAGTGAATGTCAATCAAATTTCAAATGCAGGAATTGCAAGAAGTCTCATCACACAAGTATTTGCAAGAATTCGCAACCACCTCAAAGTTCCCCAGAGAGAGATGTCATAGAGTCTGAGAGCACACAAGCGAATCAACCAAGTCAACGAGAGCAGTCGTTCCAGCTTCACTCTTCAACACAGGTGACAGCCAACACTGAAGTGCTACTAAAAACTGCTGTGACACCAATTTGGTAAAAACTGCTGTGACACCAATTTGGTATGGAAATCAAGAAATCAGCTGTAATATATTGCTTGATGAAGGGGCTCAAAATTCATTTATTACAGAGGAGCTGGCACAGAAACTTGATATCAAATCAAATGGATCCGTTACCCTAAGAATTTCAGCATTTGGAGACAAGAATAGTGAAATTCGTCATCTTGAGAAAGCAACGGTACAGCTAGAAACACAAACTGGAGACAAAATTCCAATGGAGGTCATCATAATTCCAAAGATTGCACCTCCAATCTCAAACAGATCACGCTTCAATATCAGGAACCTCGAATACCTTAGAGGATTAAAGTTGGCACAACCGGTTAGCACAGAGGAACAGTTCAATATTTCAATGCTCATTGGTGCGGATTACTATTGGAACATAGTGGGGGACCATCCTATCCAGGATACAATTTGAAAATCAAATTTACGATGTTCCCCCCAGAGGCATATTTGTTTCAAAATATTTGAGACAGATACATCAAAACGATGAAGGAGTTACTAGTACAGATCACAATGTATTTCCAAAATCATATCAAGGTCACTCTGATACAAGCATAATGAAGTCAAGGAATCTTCAGACAAATTCCAGATTTGTACCACAACAGATGGTGGGATTTTGTACTGTATTACATGAACTCAGCAGTGAGCAGTATGGAGACTTTAAGAGCGAAGAAAACAGACACCAATATAGTTACAGGATGAGCGACGAGCCACATGAAGTATTAGGACGTAGGGAGAAAAAGAGTTCACGTACAAAGAGGCAGAGGAACGTACAACAGACTTGACAACAAAAGACAATATCACCGAAGGACAGGAACCACATGCAACAAAAACAAAATGGGTGACGTCGTCCAAGTGCATGATGATTTCACAAAACGCATCAATTGGAAACTTGCTGTAGTGGTGGATCTCATTACTGGCGGGGATGGACTCACAAGATCAGCAGTCTTACGTTTTAGTAACGGAACCATATCAAACCGTCCCATTACGAAATTATATCCCCTTGAACTAAACGAGTCAGATTCCAAAGTGAGGAGAAGTGAAAGACTTTCCAATTGATGGGTTTTTTTTTGTAAAACACAACGCGAAATACGAACTTTCTATCATTGTAAATTGTGATTATTGACATTTTGCAGCCCGGAGTATGTTGATGATCATCTTCCTATATGTGACGTTAAAGTGCATGTGACATTAAGTAAATGTTTCTATTATGACGTCATCTTAATTATGACGTCATGGTAACGTCAATGTTATGCAATGTATTGCAATGTTTGAATAATCAGTCTAGATAAACAAGTCAACGTGATTAGACATTAAAATAAAAAAAGTTTCATGACGAACGTTTAAGGTACCAGAGAGAACACTCGCGGACAAAATTCGCCGCTTTTTACAGGTTTCCATGGCAACGGTAGACATATTGGAACTGAACGACCTCACTGCACAACTACAACCAGTGATCGTCCTTTGAGGAAAGTTTCAGGAAGATTGTCCCAGCCATCTCCGAGAAACAGCCTGGATAAAAAAAACATGCGTACAATATCAATATGTCGTCCCCGACTTCGTTCGGGGCGACATAATAAGAATAAGAAACAGAGTAAAAACAATATGTTCCCAAACTCCGTTTGGGGGAAAATAAATATGTTACATGTACCCGTGAATAGAAACATTTATAAATATTTTGAAATTAGATTTCTTCACACAATGTTGCTGTTAACTTAATCAATAAGATTTTTACTTTAAGTTACTGCTAAGCATATTAAAATCAATATAGAAATTAGCTTGCATTTTTTTTAATTGCGATTTTTGGATACACCGCAGACTCTAAGCTTTAGACAAATATTTAGGTTATTGCGTAAATTTTATGTGTGAAATAACTTAGAACTAGTAGGTTTACTATTTTATTATTAGGTATAAATCTGTTATCAATAATAATAAATCAATTGATAAATTTTCATGAGTTATAATTACCCGTGAGAAAAAGCACATATATATGTGATTTTTGTGCAACCATTATACGTATGTTTAAATATCCGTAATTAAACGATTCACAGTTCAACCTTAAGATGAGAATTTCATTATTTGCAATAATAATTGGAAATCTTCATACTTGAGTAGAAATTAAAAAAAATACTATCTGCATTTCATAATAATCCATGAAATCATTTTCCAAAAATAAATAAATAAACACCATTTGTAAAATTATCACAGTGATCTAAAGTTCTTTTTATTATAATACTTTATAATTTAGATTTGAAGCTTTGCAAGTATTTCATTTAAAATATTAAAGTAATAAACCAAATTAATCTTTTCTTCTTGTCAAAAAATGTTCCGCATTTTGAAACATGCTATCAGCTGGTTTTGTGTTTATCCTATCGTGAAGATCGTTTATCAGGTCTATCGTGTTATGCGTTTATTGTGTTTTGCGTGTATCGTGTATTTGCGTTTATGGTATTTTGCGTTTATCCTATCGTATTGTGCGTGTATCCTATCGTATTGTGTATCCTGTAAAGAATAACGATATGGGTACTATATCAAACAAAACCAAGATCTTCAATATAGTTTAAGGTTTGCACCAAAAAAGCATATTTATCAAAATACCACTGCAAAATTAAAACATTTTTTTTTAATTTTATTAAGATAAGAATGTTTTTAAGTAATCATATTCACAATGCGGAATAAAATTTATTTGTGTTTGTTTTAAGTTTTTAGCGTATTTACAAGTTTTGAAAATTCTTCTTTGTGTTGCAACTCGACGTAAACAATGTTGTTAAAATCTGGTATGCATATCAATAACAATAAAACTTTGACAAAACTGCTAGACCTCCGTCTTAAAAGGAAGTGTCGCTCGGCATTATTTTATCGTTACCATTCTCATTTCAAAGAATCAGCAATATGTAAGATAAAAATGTTGCAAAGATTTTGAGTAATCATATTTAAATGCAAAATAAAATCTACTCTTTATTGTTGAAAGTGTCTACGAATTTTGAAACTTTTGTTACCACTCATGAATAAGGAGAAATGCTCTGAAATACTTATTTCGCCTCAAATATTTTATTTTCAACAGAATTTTATAAACCATTATTTATCCTATTGTTTATTAAGCTTTATTAGGCAAATAGTACAATAATTATACAAAACCTACCTCACTTCTTAACTAGAAAAAATCTTGCATTAAGATTTTCAAGTTATGTTTTTTCAACAAAATGATTAAATTTATTAAAGATGCTACTTTCAGAGCAGTGCTTAAGCATTTTCAGCAGAAAATAATTGAAATACGACTTTTCTTATTTATCCTACTGTTTATTAAGCTTTTGAAGCTTTTATTGTAGGTAAATAGTACAGTGTTAATTAGGTAAATTGTACAATGTTTATGCAAACCAACCTCATTTCTAAACTAGAAAAAATCATCTTTTATTAAGATTTTCAAATTATGTTTTTTTTTTCAATAAAATGATTAAAAATGTTAAGATTGTCAAAAAAATGCTAATATCAGAGTAGTGCTTAGGCATTTTAAGCAGAAATAAAAAGAGAAAAAATAACTGAAATAAGACTTTTTCTTAAGGTGAAATATCCCCAAAATAAGAGAGATAACTACAGATATTGATTTTTAATTTCCATTGCATATATTTTTCTAAAAAAGAATTTAGGTAGTTCTATCTCTTAACATATAAGTCTTTGAATTGTCGCAGATATTTCAGATGCAATTTTTTTTAATCAGTTTCCTTTCTTTTCACTAAAATATTTTGAAGAACGATAATGAGAAGAATACTCGTGTAGATAGATGGATTTCATTTTACAAGCACAAAAAACAATTTCATGTACTGATTTTAAAATCTTGTTGCTTTGCGATATATATATCATTTAGTCTAATGTTGAATGAAGTTTTACCACCAACTCGCTGACGGATTTTTCTGAGTGTCCTAATTATGTAAAAGAGCAACCAGTCCAGAGTAAAGGATCCAAACACCTCAATGACATGCACACCTGACTTAATTTTACATTTTTTTTACTTTTCCCTGCTTGTTCTCTTTCCAGTTTTGATTTTTTTTTCAATGGCCTTTGAGCTTAATTACATTTCAGAGATTGGTACCCTTTAATATTACAGAGAGAAAAGTAGTGTCCATAGTAAACCCGTAATATTTGTCTGACCAAAAAGTAAAACAAGAGGTGCACAATGACATCGTGTAACAAAGAATCTGTGAAAGTCTCATTAAATATCAATCAGTGGTACCATGTTCATAATGTATAAAAGATTTGCGGATAAGAGATGGGTACAGCAAAGCATACCAAACGGACGGATGGACGTACAGATTGAAGAAAATCCTGGGTCTTATAACACAAATTATAGTCAGAGACTATGAAAACTATTAATGTTTTTACAGATGTACATACAAATGGTGATTTCAATTCCTTTGTCGATACGATATATCCTGGTGAGCCTGAGATGAAAGATACAAGTCTGACACATCTATTTCAAACTTAATAGTTATCTAACAACAGAGTTCTATGATAAACGTGGTGACTTGAATTTTTCTATCGTCAACTTCCCTTGCTTAAGCAGCAATATACCTTCATCACC